GTGGAGGGAGGCAGAGGCTTTCCCTGCAGACCTCCAGCCACTCCTGGCTTCAGAAGTGAGAGCATGGGGCTGGAGCTGGAACCCGGGTCTCCTGCATGTTTCCTCCCCAGCCCCCAAAACGCAGTGCCGAGGCCTGGCTGTGACTGGCACTTCTCGGGTTGCCGGAGCTGAGGCTGGGCGATCTGGGGTGCTGGCCGTGCAAAGTAGCCTGTGGGGAAGCCAGCCCCCAGGGCCTGGCCCCTGGTCTCGCTCACGTGCCCCCGTGCTGCTCTGCTGCAGATCAGCATCTTCATGACCCATCTGTCCAACTACGGCAATGACCGCCTGGGCCTGTACACCTTCCGGCACCTGGTTCGCTTCCTCCGCTCCTGGACCAACCTGAAGCTGCAGACCCTGCCACCTGTGCAGCTGGCCCAGAGATACTTCCAGATCTTCTCCGAGGAGAAGGACCCCCTCTGGCAGGTACTGCAGGGGCCCCTGGCTCGAGGGATGCTGGCAGCCCAGGGGAGCAGTGGAGCCGGGGGCCAGGCAATGAGGCTGAGGGCTTCGTTTATGGTGGAAGCCACAAGTTACTTGGAAAGCCATGAAGCAGCAGGCAGGCTTTCCCCAGGGGATGGCTGTGCTCTCTTGCATGGACAGCATGCTGCGTCCTGCTGCTGGCTGGGCTCTGCCCCTGCTGGCAATGCAGGATCTGCCCTCAATGCATTGCAAAACCTGCAGTGCTACCGGGGGGCTTTTATGCAGAATACAGTGTCCACAGAGCTCTGACGCCCTTCCCAGGGCAGGGAGGCTTTGTTCTCCCCATGTGGGGAAGCAGAGGCCGGGGGAGGAAGGAGGTGTCTCATCCCAGGGCACCCAGCGGCAGCACTGGGGTAGAAACCAGGCTGGAGCGGGCGTTCCTGTGCTCCTCTGACCCTCACGACCCTGCGTGCATTCAGGATCCCTGCGAGGACAAGCGCCACAAGGACATCTGGTCCAAAGAGAAGACGTGTGACCGGTTCCCCAAGCTGCTCATCATCGGGCCTCAGAAGACAGGTACGTCCTTCTCCCACCCACCACGCCTTGGCCCCCGCCCCGGCAGCGAGCTGGTGTCCCCATTTCAGCAGTGCTGTTGCCTTGGTCCTGCCGTTTCTCCTTATCCGGGGTTTGGGGCAGAGGGGGTAGCCTCTGTGTCTCCTCCTTGGCTCCCCCCGGAAGCACTGCTATCCAGGATAAGTGGATCGAGCATTTCAGAGCAGGTGTGGCCTCTTTCTGCTCAGTGCTGTTCATCAGCACAGCGTGCCCCTGCCTCCTCGAAGGATGGCAAAGCCCGATCCAGCTGGGGGCTGCGCTGGGTACCCTGACCAGCTGTGGAGGCTGAGATGGAGGGGGGGGAATCCCTCCCCTCAGCTCTGCTCGCTGTCCGTTCCCAGGCACGACGGCCCTCTACCTGTTCCTGGGGATGCACCCGGACCTCAGCAGCAACTACCCCAGCTCGGAGACCTTCGAGGAGATCCAGTTCTTCAATGGACACAATTATCACAAGGGCATTGACTGGTAGGCTTCCCTCGGGGCCAGTGCCCACCTCCGAGCATCCATGGCAGTGCAAGGGGGAACTGGAAGCCTAGTGAGCATGGGTTTGTCGCAGACTCCCTGGGGAATAGCAGAGCAGGGCAAGAATCACAACTAGATGCTGGCTACCCCCTCAGCCAAGCAGCCCCTGTGCCCTGAGCAGAGAGACTTACTCATACAGATGCTCAGCTTCTCCTTGGAGAGTCGCTCCTCTCCCAGGAGAAACCATGAGTGTACAGATGTTCAGGCTTTTTCTCCCAGGGTAACAATGGTTGATCCAGGAGAAAAATAACCTAGGCTCAGCCACAGTTAAATCACCCCTGGAGAGTTTATCCTGGGAGAGCAAATGTCTGTACGTGCTGTCCTGGGTGAGTTTTCTACGAGGAGAACAAACCTGGGAGAATTCTTCCAGATTATTTGAATGTGTGTTCAGAGCCTAGGACGGAGGCTCTGTCTGTGAGACACCTTATGCATGCAGTGTCCAGCAGCTCAGCCCAGCTCTGACCCGTACCCTTTTCAGCTTGGCACTGTGGTCTGTACATGCTGCGTGTTTGGATGCTCAGCCCGTGATTGAAGTGGCAGCACCTGGTGCTAGTGCGTCATTGCCAAGGGCGGTTACCTTGCTCACTCATCTGTCTAGTGACTCCTGGACCCTGCTGCGTGGTTATGGCGAGCCACTGCTCTAGGCAGCAAGGCAGCCCCCTTGCATGTGCCCGGTGCTTGCTGTGGCACATATAGCAGGGACTCGAAGTCCATGTCACAGCAGAGCTATCCCTCACCCAGTTACAC